GTGTAGTAGATTTTTACAAACACTGTTTAACAGTGCAAAAATCAATTTTTTATAAAAAAGAAAAAGAAAAGAAGCATGATTCAATGTTGCAGTATGGTGTCTGAAAATTTATTCATAATCGTAGATACTGAATGACAAAAGGGACAACATATAGTCAGTCGGATGGGATGAAGAAGTAATGAAATGAAATGGGTTCAACGTCCTACTTTTCTGCTCCAACTGGGCTAATGAAGACATACATATGCCATACAGTGTGCTATAAGGGAAATTTTGCCCGAGCTTTGGCAATATGGCCTGCACCACTGACAAGGGAAAACCACGTCGGAAAATCTTGATGAACTTTCTTCTGATATCTCTGTAAAAGATGACTACCTTTAGCACGTGACGTCTCATCATGTGGCATCAATCATTGGCTCAATGGTGCGTGCATTGTTTACATAAGACGTTCTAGTTCGGACAGAATGGAGACTTTTACTCATTTTAATACCCATCTGCACTAAATAGGAAATAATTTTTACATACAAATACGTCAAATGCCTTTATTTTTCTAATACATAAAAAAAAATGTTTTAGAACTTAATTTGTCGCAGGAAAAAAGTTAATATTTCTGGCTCATTAAGTCGCATCGATGTCATCCTTATCAGTGATTGTAGCGGCCTAGAAAAATTCACTGCTGATCAGTGTGACACTGTCCGGGCAAGATTTCCTGCATAGTACACTGTATGGCGTATATGTCTGTCTTCATAAGCTCTGTCTGTGCAGATCTGTAGGACGTTAAACCAGGATTTCATTTCATTCATTCATTGAATGGCAGTCACCATCAACATATGGTACTCTACTTGTTTTTATAACGGATGACTTCTTGAATTGAAATCTGAATATCAGACAATGACATCATTGTTTAATTACTAATCACTTTAATTAGGTTATCATCAAATTAATTATTTTGTTTTGTAGAGTCTTATATTTGCAAGGATAAATATAGTTAGTAAAAAAGATTGCAATATAATTTCGAAACAAAATAGGTCATTCTGGGACTAACATATGGTTCAATTTTATTTCAATAATTCGCTTTCGCGTTGGGGTCTTTAGCAGTGGGAAGAAACCGAAGGACCAGCAGAGAACCCAGGAGGTGGACAGGCGACCCTACTCCTTGTCACGTACAACCAGGGAATCGAAACCACACCAGTTGACTCCATGACAATCTGTATGATACAGCACGCACGTGCTAACCACCCCCTTTGTCAGTGGTGCAGGCAGGTCAAGGGACAACAAACATATACATGTATATAGTCATTCAGATGGGATAAAAAATAAGTAAATGAAGGTCTAAAATCATTAATATTTTACAGAAATTTGTTTTAGGCAACTGTGTCAATGAATATTAAGGAATTGAACCTAAAAAATCTTGTGATAAGTTAGATAAATAAAAATTAAAGAAAAAAAATCATTCTATTTGAAAATATGGGGAAAGTAGAGTAAAAATATCGACATGTCAAATGTTGTATCGTTAAATATATTGATTATCTTTTCACAACCCTATCTACATGTAAATGTTTGACAAAATAATAGCTTAAAGCATTTAAAGGATCATTTCTTCCTATGTACGTCAAGAGTCAGAGATAAAAAATTCATACCAATCCTGAAATTAACGAGACTGGCAAAAGGTCAAATTTAACCCCTCCTACATGTATATTACATACATGTACAGTAATTCTGCCTAAGTAACTTTTATGGGGGCCTAACGTAATGGAAATGAAATGAAATAAAAAAGGGTTTAACATCCTACTGTTCTGCTCCGACATGTTTAACTGTTTTATATTATGAAATATCGAGAACAGCCAGTCTAAAGTTCATCCCCCAAAACAGAAGTACAAGTTTTATATTATGAAATATTGAGAACAATAGCCAGCCTAAAGTTCGCCCCCCCAAAAACAGTAATCAACTTAAATTGATTTTGCAACAGATCTCAGCTGCCACACATTTAATACAAGCTGGTTAGAAAATGTGTGGGCCAATTGACTAATGGCATTTCAATGCTGAAAGAAGCCGATTGTAGCAAGTATTGACGACAATTGAACTAGGAATTATCACTATCCGATTGTCGTAATAGAAAGGATATTTTGGGAAACTTCATTGATTGATGTCTGATGAACTTGCTCAAAACACGACAGTTAGCACACCTCCAACTCTCAGAAATGAAATGAAATATGGGTTAAAAGTTTAACGTCCTACTGTTTTGCTCAGATTGAAATGCGTCCATGTTGTCTTTTATTTTTATTTCAACTGCTGGTTTAATTTCTTTTTATTCAATATTATTCATCACATGTCCTCGACTTCGGTTATGCTGGAGAAGAATGGCTTCAGAAAAAACCCTTGACAGAAAAACCTTGGCCTGCTGGCCTCAAGTTTTTCTTTTTTCTCTGGTTATTTTCTTCAATCTTTCTTTCCCCATCATCACCTCAGTCTTGTGATTTATCCTACACTTAAACGTATCGCGCTAAAAACAATATAGTTTTTATTTTATGATTCATCAAGTTGACTAATTCGATGTAACCATTTCATATAATTGTTATTAATGTACGATATAATAATATAAATTCCAGAAAAACAATCTAATCTCTATATATAGAGAAAAATCAATATTTTCTGTGTCAATTCTAATGAATAATACACAAATAAATTTCAACACGTAAGAAAATGAAAATGAAATTGAGAGGATATTATTAAAATATCATTTCTTGTAATAAGTTTAATAGCAGAAAATATTAAAACCTTTCATTAAAACAAAAAACTGTAAACTAATTTAAAAGCTAGAATTAAAAGATAAATTGTTTAAGCGGCATTTAATAATTGAATGAGAATAACGAAATGAAATGAAATGGGGTTTAACATCCTACTGTTCTGCTCCGACTGGGCTAATGAAGACAGGCATATGTCATACAGTATGCTATGAGGGAAATTTTGCCCAGGCAGCAACGCTACGGCCTATCCTTATATCGAATTTTACGTGCATGCCACGACTAGACAGCTGTCCTGCACTACTGATAAGGAGAAACCAGAATGAGAATGACACATTTATATGGAATATAAGATACTTAAAAGATTTATTTCTGGTTAAGTAACTTGTATTCCATATATAATTGTGTCATGTGTTAGGTTAAAGATAGACAAACCAGGGAAACAAGGCACCGGTTACAGTCATTTTCAAGAAAAAATCCCTTTGTTACCTGCATACACAGGCTAGTCATTGTTTTGTACGGCGAGCGATTGCTCTCAAGCGTCTGCCGCGCACCTGAATTTACAAATTCATCAGGGGTTCATTATCATTTATGAAACCATGAATGACCCCATTACATGTAGTTTTTAATCTTCAGAACCATTTCCCATACACACAATCACTGTCCTTAATATCAAATCCCTCTCCTTAATTTCTAAATCACTCTTCTTATCGAAACTGGGAGAGCTTTTTTTAGGGGAGCAATTTTTCAATTTGTTAAGGGGAGCATTTTTCAGCTCTCCTCTAAAACACAAACACCAACGACTAACAGGCACAATCCCTTTGGTACCTACATGTACAGGCACAATCCTTTTGCTACCTACTGGTACAATCCCTTTGATACCTGCAGGCACAATCCCTTTTGGTACTTGTCATTTTATCTGGCATACACGTATATACAGATTTTTCTATTTTCAGTATTTCTAGGGATATTTATAAAAAAAAAACTTGTCCAGCAAGCCTTGAAATATGGCACCTGTCACAGATTCGAGCTTTGTCAGGTACAGCCCCTCTGGTTCCTGTCGTTTGGTCGTGCACTGATTTGTCTTTTTTTATTGATATCAATAATACATGTCCGCCATAAAGTTAAAAACGTCAGAAAGTAGTTTCACTACAACTTGGGTATCATTTAGTTGTGTTGTTTTAGCAAGAGTTTCTGTATTGAATGTTTAATTTCAAACAATTGTTGGGTTTATAACTGTTTAGTTTCTAAAGCAATGAAATGAAATGGAGTTTAACGTCCTACTGTTCTGTTCCGACTAGGCAAATGAAGACGGGCATACGCCATACAGTGTGCTATGAGGAAAATTTTGCCCGGGCAGCGGCACTATCGCCTACTCTTATATCGAATTCCAACTGCCAAGGGATCTTTTACGTGCATTTCAATGTATACTTGGGACCTTGGTTTTTGTCTCATCCGAAGGACTAGACAGCTGTCCTTGTCAGGCCGGCTGTTCTGCACCACTGACAAGGGGAAACCACGTCGAAAAATCCCGATGAACTTTCTCAGCCAATGCAGTTTCTAAAGCAGTGTTGAGTTATAAATTAATTAGTCTGTTCATTACTCAAAACTTTTGAGAAACTAAACAGATAAATAAACCCAACATTCATTTATCTAATCTAAACAGACCTTTTAACCTACCCAACAGTAGAAACCCAAAGATTTTCTATCATTCTCAACTAATTCGAAAAGTTTTCCCACCAATGGTTTGAAACTAAACATGAAATACAGAAACTCCTACTTAAACAGCACAACTACATGGTACCCGAGTTGTAATGTTTATTACACTGTAAAACTGGGATTGTTTAATTAGGGGTTTTTACCGCTAGAAAGTATACATATAGTTTACTTTCAAAATATCGTTTGATAATTGATAAATGTCGTTTGAGAACTACAAAAATGGTTTAGGTAGTACTATGGCTTAGTGCCTGACATTTTGTTAGGTACATGTACAGTAGTAGAACCGTTATTTCCAGGCCTACTGTCAGGCAAACTTTTGAAATGTTAAGTACTAATTCAATAGCGCCCAACGTTTTGTCAGGTATAGTTTCCTGTAAACCTGTTATTTACACACCTCATCGAAAATAGATGTATTAATAAAGCGCCCAACTTTGTCAGGTATTAAAAAAAACTAAACCTTTTTGAGAAACGTGATTAAAGATTTCAAACTTCTGTAAATTCATATTGCATGACATTGTTTCAATTCAAAGTTTTTCTTACTTCCAAATAAAGGCACATTATCAGTTTCAGCTTTGGCGACAACAGTATCAAGGTTAAGATATACAACTGGCAAGGCATCGAAATATGATGAATGGGGAGCCATTGCTATAATTGGGGCAACTTTTGATGTGACCCTTTTGCCTCGTACTGTGATCCAGTGAAAACCACCCATGAAGAACATCGCCCGACAGAAAAAGACAACAAAAGGGCGCAGGAAGCTGTGATGGATGAAAAAAAGGATTAATATTCTATATTCTTTTTTTAAAAATATATATAAAAAAAATTAAAACCACTGATCGTCCTTTGAGATTTTCTGAATCCCGTGAAAACTACAATATCGTGAATGTTAAATCTCTAAAAGGAAATGGTTCAATTCTATTCCGTAAACGTATTTAGAATATTTGTCATTGTCTGCCGACAAAACAATTAAGCCAGTGCCACCTATAATTTTTAGGTAAAATCTTTTGATGGTACTCTTTTTAATTCGACTGAATCGAAGTCGGGAGATTATCTTAAATCAACAACTCAATTATTCTTTTTATTTTTCTAATAATTAAATGTTCTATAATAAATTTAATTTATTTTTTCTCCAATAATTAAATGTTCTATAATAAATTTAATTTATTTTTTTCTAATAATTAAATGTTCTATAATAAATTAATTAAATGTTCTATAATAAATTAATTAAATGTTCTATAATAAATTAATTAAATGTTGAGTACAATTTAGCGTGATCAAGTCTCGGGAAATCAGTATTATTCAAAAAATACAAAGAACGATCGGTAGCCTTAAAAATGAATAAGAATGACAGATAGTGTTAATTTCAGCTAGAAACACTCTGATTAAAATATAGGCTATTAAGTTGTAGGCTTTATCTACATCTGAGGAGATGTAATATCCGGTTTTAATTTTTAAAAAGCTAAATATTAAGATCATAGAGAAATAGAGAATGTATTTCAAGATTTTAAAATTCTAAGATCTATATTGTAATTAAAAGGTAAACACTTATTATGTTAAATACAATAAAACCAGACGAGGATCCAGGTGGGCAGGGTGGGTGGGGGGCGGCCAGATCCCTAACTCAGTCTCAATTTCAAGGGTTTGGGACCCCAAAATGGATGGTCAGAAATGGCATCTATAGTGTTACATTTTCCACCTATCATGGTTTTTTGGGGGCTTTGGCTCTAGCAAGTGGTCAATATCAAAACCTCAATGGAGATTTGAAATTTCTGCGTGCCCTCCCCTGCCCCCCATCCTTCCTCCCGAGCTGCAGAAAATCCTGGATCCACCCCTGAAATTGTGATAAGCTGAAGCAATATTATTCTCCTATGCATCTCATTGATCTCAACATTACATAACCCTTTTTTTTTAACTTTTCATGATACAGCTCATGAATATTAATGGAGTTTAAGAAGATCAAAACTTTATTGATATAATTTTTTCTAAAATTGATCAAAGATCGTTTTAAACAGGTTATTAATATTCTCTAAATACAATTTAGTTAGCCCGATACAAAGCTACATGTATTGACATTTATAACCAATATAGGCCAGTGATAGCCAACCTATGACACATACAGTATGTCAGCAATGACAGTGACATGCCACTGGTATTTTTTTGTAACAATCAATGGTAAAAATTATTTTCCATCACTAATAATGCACACAAAAAGTAAAAAGACAATTTGGAAGCGTAGCCCTGATCTAAGGTCGCAATCAACAAATGTATATTGCAAAGATCAAAAAATTAAATACGTTTTTGAAAAACCTGTACAAACTCTAGACCTGACCTAAATGCAGTTAAATGATTTTCTCTTCTGGTTGTGCATCTTTAAAGATACATTATGTAAGTTTTAGATAAAGAGGTGACAGTTCTTGTTATAATAGTTCAAAAATAGATAATGAAAAATGAATATATTGAAATTTCATTCACATTACTTTATTCTACAAGGCGAAGTTATGACTGTTTGAAGATCCAGCACCGATGGTTTATTACTGTGGCAATGGTACTGGACAAACAAGACTAACTTTCGATTATCTATTTTATGGGAATTCTAATCCATTTAAATCTCTGCCATCCGATGATCTAGAGAATTGAATATGGGCTTGTTATGTTAATGATAATTTAGATAACACTTCAGGCCAAAAGAAAGACCTGTAATAAGACAGATTTACCTCTTGCATAATGTATGTTTAAGTGTGAGATTGATGTAAGACTATCTTTACCAGCAAATTATGCACCAGTGTCCGTTTAAGAATTAAACATACATTATGCAACAGCTAAATCTGCCTATTGCAGGTCTTTCTTTGGGCCTGAAATGTTATCTAAATTATTAATTGGACATTAATTAACTGATCCAGACCATAATCAACTCTCGATGCCATTGTTAGCCTGCAATATTTACTAGATTTGAATATATTTTGTGATGGATAATTTAAAGTAAAAATGAATAATCAAGACTTTGTTTAATATCATACCAACATTAGTAATGACGACCGAAACTAGCCTAAAATTGAACGGCTAATATCTCGGTTCAGAGTGAAGCAATTTGACTGAAATTTTCAGCATTTTTGTTTTCATTATCTATTTTCTCACTATTACAGCGAGAACTGTCAACTCCTTATCTAATCTTACCTAATGCCCCTTTAATATTTTGCTTATATAAGTACAATATGTTTGAAGTTTAAAAAAATATAAAGCTTACTTTCTCCATCCTGCCAATGGTTTATTTCTGTCTGCTTCTGAACGAAAACCTACAGCAATAGCAGCTAATGGCCATGCTGCCAATAAACAGATACCTACTAATATCAACCTGATCGGGGCGATGGTAATGGACATCAAAGCCACCTGAAAAAATAGATAAATTAAACATACATTATGCAAGAGCTAAATCTGTCTATTACAGGTCTTTCTTTAGGCCTGAAATGTTTTCTAAGTTTGACCGATTTTAATAAAAAAAAATTTTCCTCGTTTTGAGATTCTTTATATGGGACAGAAACAGTGACCAATATGAAAGCCTTCATATCTGCCCGGAAGATCTAGTTTCATTTCCTTCCTATATTGATAAAGGAAGAAAATAGTGAAATAATCCTCTGAAATGACACAGGACATCTCAAATAAAATTGCTGTCAATATGGCCAACTAAACATTTAAGTTTGATAAATAATCGGGCGGGGGATTTTGGATGGACAAATGGTTAGTGCGAATGCGTTGAATCATAGGGTCTGTCATTGAGTCAACTGGCGTGAGTTCGATTCCCTGGTTGTACGTAACAAGGAGGAGTAGGGTAGTCTGTCCAACCTCATGGGTTTTCTCCGGGTTCTCTGGTTTCCTCCCCTGCTAAAAACCCCTAAGGGCATATTTATTCCTTATACCGTAAAGACAGCAATTATTTATTTTGGTGCATGCCCTGACCCCCAGGAATGTGGACGTTTATTGCTTCGGTATGGATGCTCTTGTTGATAATAAGCTGAGTTGGGGTTTATTTTTTGAGATATAATATATATTTACATTGTTTTGTTGTATGATACAATCAATTTTGTACATTTATTTTCTTGCTGTGAATGAAATGAAATAAGTTTAACGTCCTATTGTTATGCTCCAAAATGGGCTAATGAAGACGGGCATACGCCATACAGTTGAGGAAAATTTTGCACGGATAGCAGCACTGAAGCCTAATCTTATATCGAATTTCAACTGTCAAGGGATCTTTTACGTGCAAACCAATATGTACATGGGACCTCGGTTTTAGTCCCATCCAAACAACTAGACAGCTGTCCTTGTCAGGCTCTTCATGTCAGGGGAAACCACTCTGGAGAATATACTCTGAACTTTTAAGTCAAAATAAGTTTACTATGTAGTATAATGACCTAGATTAGCAGTAGATACATGCCCTACTATAAATCAAATTTTAAATAAATGAAGATGATGCGATGATTTATAGTTTGTTGATGACTTAACCAGTGGTTATGGACGACTTAACTGTCGATGAGTTTCGTTGTGGATGAGTTAACTAGCACTCATTGTAGACCACTGTACAGTGTTAAACTCAGCAGTCAGCAGCTATATAGACCTATGTATTGTAATTTACTCTTACATTAAATGCACTTAACACTAAATAATTATAAATGCTGTAGTCAATGGCAAAAGTCATTAATCTGTAAGCTTAATAAATATTGTGCAATATTATTAATAATGACACTATACCAGTGAATGTACATGTAACAGTCTAAACTTGTTGGGTTTTTTTAGAAAAGATTTATCCAACGTGAAAACTTTTCAAAAATAATGTACCGTGTATCATTATAAGTGTAAATCTGATCTTTGATATCAACCTAGCTAGGAGGAAGAAGTTGTGAATCCCTGGTGTACAGGGGTTAAGCGACAGGGACACAATGAGGAGCTAATGCTAATGTTTTCCATCATGGTTTTGAGTTTTTGTGCCCCTCGCAAATGGCAAAAAATCATGCGGTTTCAATGCAGTTTTTAACAATATAATTATAATCATAATGCTCAACCAGTGTCAAACATATACCGTTGGTCAGATATGTTACAAATCGACACTAGCATGTTCCAATCAGTCCTATATTACTTGGCAGCACTGCCCTGGGAGAGACCCCCCCCCCCCATATAAATATTGTTTTGGCGGGACCCGGACAGGATCTTGTTCCTCATGCAAAATAATGGGTCACCACGCCCCTGACGGTGTGGAGTAGTCTAATCTAGGTGCTGCAAGTATGGACCAATGGGCCCCTAGTCAGGATTTGAATGGTTGCGGGACGTTGCATCCCAGCATATTTTTGATATGGCTCTTAGTGTGTTTCATCCCATTCTAAATTGAGTTGTATGTACATGTATTGTTAAATAAACTGTTAAACGTTATGAATTTATAATAAAAACATTTAATTTAAACTAAGTGAGAATTGAGTTGTATTTATATATAGGTCTAAATAAGAAGCCAGATATGAGATAAAGTAAAAAAATAAAAATCTATTTTTTTCAAATTATATGAGTATCTACGTGTTTTAACTCTAGAGAATTTGATGCCTGGCCTAAAATTGTTTTCTTAAATGATATGGACAAAAATATTTTGCATATTAATTATGGTTCTCTGAAGCGGGGATGAAACGACACATGTAATATTGGGATAAAACGATACATGTATTTGGATGAAATTACTCCCGAACAGAACTGTTCCTATGATTTTTTTTCGTATTGTCAAAGAAAGTCATAGGTCAAATAGGTGTATAATGATTCATGAATGTGATGATTTCGTATTTATGAATAGATCTATGAAGTATAATAAATGATGATTTCATAATATTTATGAATAGATCTATATGATCCAATATGATTAATTTTACCAATACAGGTCTGAGGTAAATATAAGCCTACACAATTTAAATTACACTTTTTTTTAAATTTAAAGTTAAACAAGTGAAGTTGCAACAATTACGCCTACATTGTTATTGTCGTACCTACATTTATAATAATAATGTCAATGATATTATGATACAAATATAAATAGACATGCGATACGGTTGTTACGCAGTGAAGGAACCCGATTATTGTTCCGTTGTTATACATGGTTACGGTGAGTGATTTCACGTAACGGTAAACAAGATCAAACACGGTCCCTTTAATCTTATTAGATACACACAGATCGCCTCGCACATGGCTTTTACTGGGTTTAGCAGTCGCCTCGTTCAAATTCAATACACAACAAAAACTAACGAACCTTGATGTAGTCGTATACTGTCCAATTCAAGCGGTGCACAAACGGATTCTCTACAACAGGTGAGACAAGGGAATCTTGGCGTGGATAAATAACGTTGCGCTTCATTTTGTAACCTGTCAGGAAAACTAACTACAGAAGGGTGGTGGTCAACTTTCAAACAAGTTCAAGCAGTGTTTCTCCATTGCAAACTGGTCGCGGTCGGTGGTCTATCGATATCCGGCGCGCAGTCGCACAACAACGTCGTGTAGGATTATGGTAAAGAAACTGGGCATGCTGGGATAACCTCTATTGCGACTGCAACACCCAAGATGGCAACCAAATTAATACATTGAAAAACAAAACAATTTTGATATTTTTTGAGGTTTAAAAGACTCTGAAGTGTATTAGGAAGATGGATAGCTGTGGTGATAGATCTACTTCGAAAGGAGAGTTTATAGTTGGTGCGAAATATCGACTTGTGAGAAAAATTGGGAGCGGTTCCTTTGGCGACATTTACTTAGGAATCAACATTACAAATGGCGAGGAGGTGGCGGTGAAATTAGAGTCAACAAAAGCTCGACATCCACAGCTTTTATATGAAAGCAAGCTTTATAAAATATTACAAGGGGGTGTTGGCATACCACACATTCGCTTCTATGGCCCTGAAAAAGATTACAATGTCCTCGTTATGGACCTTCTTGGACCCAGCCTTGAAGATCTGTTTAATTTCTGCTCCAGACGGTTCACTATGAAAACGGTTTTGATGTTGGCAGATCAAATGATTGGCAGAATTGAGTACGTTCACAACAAAAATTTCATTCACCGAGACATCAAACCTGATAATTTTCTTATGGGCATTGGTAGACATTGCAACAAAGTTTTCTTGATCGATTTTGGTCTCGCAAAAAAGTACAGAGACAGTCGTACCAGAACTCACATCCCTTACCGAGAAGATAAAAATCTTACAGGAACGGCCCGTTACGCCAGTATAAACGCCCATTTGGGTATTGAACAGAGTCGCAGAGATGACATGGAGTCCCTTGGGTATGTATTAATGTACTTCAACAGAGGAAGTTTGCCGTGGCAGGGTTTAAAAGCCAACACCAAAAAGCAGAAATATGAAAAAATCAGTGAACGGAAAATGTCAACTCCAGTTGAAGTTTTGTGTAAAGGCTTCCCAGCCGAATTCTGTATGTACCTCAACTACTGCCGAGGTTTGCGTTTTGAAGAAGCGCCTGATTATATGTATCTTCGCCAACTCTTCCGAATTCTTTTCCGTACACTTAATTACCAGTACGATTACACATTTGATTGGACAATGTTGAAACAAAAGGCAGCTGCTGTCGCGGCTAGCTCGACAACCGGCCAGACTACTGCTAATGCTCGTTAAAATATTCGGATTGAACAAAATTGAACACTTCACAATGCAGCTTATCACCACAATCACTGCACAAGCTTTTCGGTTCGCAGACATTGGTAAATATCGATATTATCATTATCATTGACAAGTGAGGTTGTTGATCTGCAAACGTGTGAACAGATAGGAATGCTTGTCAAATAAACTTGTGTAATGTCTTGTGATGACAAACTGTGTAACTTATACTGTGGTCTGTTGGTTAAATTGTACTTGAAATTTTTGATGATATAGGGTCCTCATATTGCCTATATGAAGTGTATTTAAAAAATATTGAATGATAATGCTGCTGTTTCTGTCACTGGGGTTATTGTAGATTTAAATGAACATTTATTTTATTGTGTATAGTAGTACTGTATGTACAACTTCATACATACTTTAAATTACTCAAATGTCATTATAAATGTGTGATTTCTAAAAAGTCAAACTGTTATTGGTTTGGACAGAAAATGTAAGTAAGGTAAAACAACAATTAAGAAATCTTTGATCAATCACTGAAATGTTATAATTACATGTATTAGATGTTTCAGTGCATACATGTATATTATTAATTATTATTGATAAACATGTATATTTGAAATAATGAAATATAATATATTCGTTGGTGTGACGATAATGTAGGTCTTTTTTTTTTCTTTTTTTTTTTAGATAGAACTTTTTTTGTCCTTAACCTATTTTCAAATGTATCAATCTGTAAAATTCTTTTTTTTTGTTTAAAAAATATACAAATAAATATATATATAGTGTAAACGCTCTTGTATATTCTGCGCACCAAAAAAGAGATGGAAAAAAAAGACAAAAAATATCATTTTAACTAGATAATATATTATGTACATGTAAACTAATTTGTAAGATAGTGTAACAAGAAGTTCATTGACTCCATACTTGTTGAAGTGTTTTGAATTAAGTGTTTATCTGTAAAATATACCGTGTCTATGTTCTGTGTTTATGACACATGGCTTAAATGCTGTTACAATGTGTGATAGATAATGTATAAAATGAATTTGTATGTCACTTGTTGCTGTGTCTGTAACTGTTCCTCAAAAATAACATCTGCCAGTTCACAATACATATTTTCAGTTAAAACAAGAACTGCACAGATGCCTGATGTATAAAATTAACAAATGTGAAATGTATGTATTTTTAATGACCTGAAACAATGTCCAATAAATAGTTAATTAATACTGTTATATAATCAATTTTGAACCATACAAATTCACAAATTTTGGTTTTCACTTGCATTTAAAGGTTGAATTACATTAAGATGTCGCTGTATAGTTATGCTTATTTCACCATAAATTGTTGTACTTTTAAACATAGAAAAATATACTATATGGACCTTTATTTTCATCTCATGCATGGGGAAATACTTTGAGTTGAAGATGAGTTAATGTTGTACTTTTAAACATAGAAAAATATACTACATGTATATGGACCTTTAAGTTTAATATTTTCATCTCATGCATGGGTATACTTTGAGTTAAAGATGAGTTAATGTTGTCGTGTAGCTGAATAAATAAACAATTAGATATATAACAGGGTATTCATACAGTTGGTTTCTACCTCGTGAATTAGAAACCAAAATTAAAATTTTTCACATACATTTGATAACGTGAATTTGTATGGATTGAAACCTAATATGAATTGGCTCAAAAAGAATAATTTTGTTTTGAACTATTTATTAATTATAATTGATTGTCTTCTCTTGTTTTTGCTATTTATTCTTTAAAATGTCTGTCTAGAAGTTTATATTTATTATGATCAATAAATGTCTTCATTATATTTAATTTTCCTTTTCTTAGACATACATGTAAGCTCAATGCACACATGCGAACAAAATTGCCGTTTTGTTTCTGTCGTCGTTCGATCCCACTCCTTCAAAACATTATTCAACATATTTAACGGAGTCAAGAAATTTCTGTATTGAGTTTTAACTTTATCTTTTAAATTTAAAGCAAGGTTGTTTTTTTTGTCTTTGAACGACAGAATTATTGTCTTTGTCTATTGCACATTTTAAATTTTTCCCCAAATTGTTCAGATGTGTGCATTGAGTATTAGTACTATATGTAATGAAAGACAAATATATAGTAGAAATGAGAAAATGGTTAGTTTTTGGCACTCGGTAGATTTTAGGGCATATGAAACCAAACCTTTTTCAAAACAATTATATTTGTTACTTGTACAGTCTTATATGAGTGACTTGAAAATTATTACTGTGTGCTTTTGACATGGAATAAATGTAGATATTGTGATAAACTTTGGATACTTTGTTATCAATCAATTAGTCGCTCAGTGAGTAAAACCCTGGCTTGCGAACCAGGAGGTCTCGTGTTCGATCCCAGTGTTTTGCCTGCGAAAGTTACTTTGGATTATCCAGCAAACTTGGATACTTTGTTATCAATCAATTAGTCTCTCAGTGAGACCCTGGCTTGTGAACAAGGATGTCTCAGGTTTGATCCTGGTGTTTTGCCAGAGAAACTTCAGATACTTTGTTATCAATCAATTTGTCGCTCAGTAAGACCCTGGCTTGCTAACCAGGACATCTCGGGTTCGATTAGGTTCGATATAAGAGTAGGCCGTAGTGCCACTGCCTGGGCAAAATTTCCATCATAGCACAATGGAAGGTGTAGGCCCGTCTTTATTAGCCCAGTAGGAGCAGAACAGTTGGATGTTAAACCCCATTTCATTTCATGAGAAAAGTAAGACCATAAACCCCATTTTATTTCCTTTATCAATCAATTAATACAAGCCTGGGGCTGTATGTCATAGTTAAAAACAGTTTAAACTAGGAATTTGAATATTAATTGGATGAACTGACAAAAATATTATTTATTGTGTTGCACAGATGATTTTTTTCACCTGTCATTTATGTGTTTGGAAAAGAATTTTAAAAGGAAGGCCTGACATTGACCCAAGAAAGTTCAGAGAATGGATCTCCCTTGTCATTGGTACAGAACTTTAAAGGCCTCACAAGAAAGCACTGTAATCTGGGTATCATGTAATCTTGTGTATTTAGCATTAATTTCTTTCACATTCATTCAATATCAAACCTTTGTTCAGAAATTTGTGAAAATCGTTTAAAATCACCTTAAATCATCTATTTTGTACTTGTGTCCAGTTTAAAACTGACCAGTAGGTTTTGATAATTAGTGTCCAATTTACAAGCTTTTATTTTCTCGATCACTGTTTAAAAATAAACAACTCAAATGATTATTGATCTATAATGATTAATTTTTGAACAGTGGTCAGGAAATTAAATACTTGTAAACGGAACACTCATTATCAAAATTATTCAGTCAGCTTTAAACAGGACATAAGTACAAATTAGATGATTTGGGGTGATTTTAAATGATTTTTATGAATTTTTAAACAAAGATTTGATATTTAACAAATGTGAAAGAAATTAGTGCTAAATACACAAGATTAAATGATAACCGAGTTACAGTGAAAAAGTGTTCAGTTGTTTGGATGTGACGAAAAATTCAGTGTTTATCAATGGCTGCATTATAGATGCCCCCCCCCCCTCCCCCGACAAATAGGGAGCCACGGTGGCTAGGTGGTTAAGACGCTGGCTCGCTAGCCTGGAGGTCGGGTGTTCGATCCCTGCATTAGCCGAGAAAGTTCATCAAGATTTTCCGTCGTGGTTCCCCCGTGGTTTTCGATACCCTGGTTGTATGTGACAAGGAGTAAGGTCGCCTGTTCAACCTCGTGGGTTTTCTCCGGTTTCCTCCTACACGCAAGCGAATTAATGAAATAAAATTGAACCATATGTTAGTCCCGAAATGACCTAGTTTGTGTCTAGTGGACGTTAAACCCCATTTCTCTCTCTCTCTCATCTATATAAACACTTACTAAAATAAAACATGATAGGTTGATCAACAAATTAAACATCTGAGACTGAACAATAGGTCCAGTGTGTAAGACTGGGAATCCCCTAAAACAAGTTTTAACTTTTCAGATCAAAGTGTAGTAATGAGAGACTGAGGAAACTAATCATGTGCGTGAGAGAGGAAAGACAATTGGCAACCTGGCAAAATGTGTATAGATCAGAAAAAGAGAGAAATGGGGTTTAACATCCACTCGACACAAACTAGGTCATTTCAGGATTAATATATGGTTCCTTTTTATTTCAATAATTCTCTTGCACGTAGGGGTCTTTAGCAGTGGAAGGAAACCGGAGGACCCTGAGAAAACCCACGAGGTTAAACAAGCGACCCTACTCCTTGTCACGTACAACCGGGGAATCAAAACCACGCCAGTTGACTCAATGACAGACCTTATGATACAACACACAGGTGCTAACACTTCGGCCTTCCAACCCCCATGTAGACACACAAGTAATTAAGTATTTTAAATTAATTTAACCATATGTTAGTCCCGAAATAACCTAGTTAATGTCAAGTAGGCTTTGTTAAACTTTATTTCTATCTCTTGACTTATTGACTGAAGGAAGGATTAAATGTGATGTTATCATTTAATGTGTCAATCTGGAGTTCATTTTACATGTGGTGGGTGACCAAATGATCTCAATCCCACACTTATACCAGACAAAGAGTAGGGTCAATGGTTTCCTCTCATACACTCAAATTAACTATTTAAAATAAAATTGAACTAAATGCTCATTGTATCATAAGGTCTATCATTGAGTCAACTGGCGTGGTTTTGATTCACCGGTTGTACATGACAAGGAAGGAGTAGGGTCGCCTGTCCAACCTCTTGGGTTTTTCTCCTGGACCTCCGGTTTCCTCCCACTGCTAAAGAACCCTACGCACAAGCGAATTATTAAAATAAAATTGAACCATATGTTAGTCCCGAAATGACCTGGTTTGAGTTGAGTGGAGTTAAACTCTCTCTCTCTCTCTCTCTCTCTTATTGACTGAAGGAAGGGGGTTTAACACAGTGTTATTATTTAATGTATATCTGGAGTTTATTTTAGTTTTATATATAGTACCTAATTATTTGAAATAAATTTAACCATATGTTAGTCCCAAAATGACCTAGTTTGAGTCGACTGAATGTTAAACCCCATTTTTCTCTCTCCATTTCATCTCTTAACTTATTGACTGAAGGAAGGGTTAAACCTAGTGTTATCGCTCATATCATTTAGTGTATATGGAGTTTATTTTACATATTAAGTAAGCATTAGTATCATATAGTAGTATTATATAGTACACTAACTGACCTCAGCATGTTTATAAAATCACTGATGCGAGTAACTATAGTTAGTTTGTATCAGCGTATGACGTAAGCTGACGTCATTTAACAAAGAAAGGATAAAAAATATATAAACTGCGTAGCTTGTCATTGTCTATTATTAAATAAACAACGAAATAGGAACTAGAAGTTGACATATTTTCTAACCAAATATTTTTTTTTATTTTGTAAAATTACTTTTTTTTTCAACTTGGTCACAATTAAAAACACAACACAGTTTATATGGAAATACAATCACTGGTTTATAAGTATAGCACGACGTTTCGACAAGTATTCTCTTATCGTTATCAAGCACAAATGATATTTAAATAAGAGAATACTTGTCGAAACGTCGTGCTATACTTATAAACCAGTGATTGTATTTCCATATAAACTGTGTTGTGTTTTTAATGTGTTCAATCGCTAAATGCCACTCAAGGATTATATTGGTCACAATTGACTTGTTTTATTAAAGCCCTTTTAGCCTATTTCTGTTCATAAAGTCTGTCATTGAGTCGACTGGCATGGTTTCGAATCCCCGGTTGTACGTGACAAGGAGTAGGGTCGCCTGTCCAACCTCATGGGTTTTCTCCGGGTCCTCCGGTTTCCTCCCACTGCTAAAGACCCCTATGCGCAAGTGAATTATTGAAATAAAAGTAAACCATATGTTAGTGCCGAAATGACCTAGATTTTACCGAACACTTATAGTTGGTAATTCGTTGACTGATATTCCTTTTTGTGATTCAACTTCATATAAATGAAAGGAAATGAAATGGGGTTTCACGTCCTACTATTCTGCTCCTAAACTGGGCTAATGAGGACGGGCATACGCCATACAGTTTGCTATGAGGGAAATTTTGCCCGAACAGCTGCACTACGGCCTTCTCTTATATCGAATTCCAACTGTCAAGGGATCTTTTACATGCACCCCAATGTGTACACGGGACCTAGGTTTTTCGTCCCATCCGAACGACTAGACAGCTGTCCTTGTCTGGCCCTCCTTCCTTCATCGCTGACAAGGGGGAACCACGCCGGAAAAACTGGATGAACTTTCTCGGCCAATGCAGGGATCGAACACGCGACCTCCAGGCTATATAGGCGTAGGAGCCCGATAAATGGTATTGTTGTTAAATTACAGCTAGATATTTTCTAGATAGTAATAAACGGAGAGAGAGAGAGAGAGAAATGGGGTTTAACGTCCACTCGACACAAACTAGGTCATTTCAGGACTAACATATGGTTTAATTTTATTTCAATATTTCACTTGCGCGTACGGGGTCTTTAGCAGTGGGAGGAAACCGGAGGACCCGGAGAAAACACACGAGGTTGGACAGGCGACCCTACTCCTTGTCACGTAGTCATAAACAGATTCAGTTGATCCCATGAATTATCAGCTTTGTGGGTGGCCAATTGGTCTAAGGCATGCACTTTAGATCATAACGTCTGTCATTGAGTCAAATGGTGTGGTTTCGATTCCCCGCTTATACATGCACATGACAAGGGGTAGGATCACTTGTCCAACCTCATGCATTTCTCCGCATCCTCCAGTTTCTTCTCACTGCTAAAGACCCCTACGTGCAAGCGAATTATTGAAATATAATTAAACCATATGTTAGTCCCGAAATGACCTATAGGTAGTTTGTGTCATTTATTATATATGGGCCCCACCCAATATTGTAAGAGGGTTATAGATGTTTTCTAGATAGTCATAAATTGAGTCAGCTGATCCCATGAATTATCAATGAGAATGGATGCAGAGACAGATCATTATAGACATAATCATGACATCAACAGACCATGAAATATAACACGCCCATTAGGCCACAACAAATCGATCTTCTGTTCTTCTGGAATATCTATTAAAATTCGACCACCAACTTCTTCAGGAAAAAAACTAATTTAAAAACAAAAAGTAAGCTTAGTTAAAAGGGCATTATGAAAGATTAGATAAAAGGGCAGTGCTCACTATAATAGTTACAAACTAGATAATGTAAAGGGAATATGCTGAATATTTAAGTCAGATTGCTCCACTCTGAACTGAGATATTAGTGATTGAATTTCAG